AAGAGTCAATTTAAACCTTTGCCATTTATCAAATTTATTTCAACAAAATTTCTAACAAAAAAAAAAAAAAATGCAACTATCCAGAAATAACGATTAAAGATAAGCAAATTTTCATTAACTTCAAATGATTATAACTTGACAAAATGGAAACTCTATTATTATAGACTATTGTCAATATTATTATCACCATTTTAAACAACATTTCAAGAAGTGTTTCTTCAGGTGGTTGGAATGTTGAACTGAATTTTATTTCACTCACTGGAGTAGTTGTTCTAGTTCCATGTTCCATCTGTCCTCAAGGACACATGGCACAGTGCAAAAAGGCATTTCAAGTTAGATCCAGTGACAGGACCCAAAGTATTTTGAGTTCAATACCATTTTAAGCCAGTGGAGAATTTGGAAGGGAATTAACAGGAGATAACTGATAAATGACATCCATTAGAAATGGAACTGGAACAGAACAAGATTTGAGCCAAAATAAAGAGTTCAGTTCGACATTCCAAAAACCTGAAAAGGCCGGGGCATATATTTTTTCTGAAATGTAATAAATATGGCAACAAATTTGAGGACAGTCTTTCCAATAATGTAAATAGTTTTTCATAATACCTCATCTCAGAAAATTTAGACAGGTACCAAATTCTTGAGTTCAGACATACCAGTATAATTTCTAATCTCAGACTAGTTATAACATATCATTTGGTAAATATTCCAAAAATGGTAAATGTCTACTTGCAAGTCTACTGTTGATCTAATCAACGACCATACATTCAATCATCTTACAATTGGCTTTTACATTTTAAAAAATGTAAATTTTTGTATATTATCATCGAAATTAATATTCGTCTGCAATAACATATAGAAGCAATATAATATTCTAAGCATTCAAAATCTCTGCAATATTTTTTCAGAAATTCTAGCCAACTTGGTTCCCAGAAGAGATGAGAAAATAAACATAGGTTAAAAAAAAAAGTTTCTGAATCTAAAATTATTCCGAAACTGTTTCCAGTATTTAATCGTCTATAAGAAAAAAAAAAATTTTAAAGGCCAAAATTTTTGACTTGTGGTGAAAGTCCGACAAAGGGTGGTTTTGCAGAAGGATGCTGAGGAATGTTTTTGGACTGAACATGTGAGCAATGACTGGGTTTCGCGACGTAAATAAAAAGAAAAAGGAAATTTAACATTAGGGAGGGAAAATAAAAGTTTAAAAGGGACACATAATGAGGAAAAAATACTTTTAGAAAATCTGATAATAACAAGACTTTTGATGGCAAGGGGACAGAGGACAGCAATACATCTTAATGAGCTTTTTTAAATTATGGCCAAGCAAGATTTAGGAGAAATAACAAAAAGACAGTTTATTAAGAGATATGATGGACAGGAAATTGTGGAGAGCCATGATAAAATACATCATGAAGGGACACAGCACAAAAGTAAAGATATATTTTTTGTCAAAAAGGTATTTTTTTTTGTTTTTGTATTTGTCATTTCACATGAAGCAAGGCAACAATGCCAATAGGTTGCAGAAAGTGAAAAAGAAGACTTTAGTTGGAAGGAGTGTGGAAAAAGGACAATAATGAACAATGCTCAGAAAGACAGATGGCAATTGACACTGCATTTAAATCTTTGAAGATTGTAGTTGACAGGGAAGCAAGAAATCAGAAGAGGAAAATAGTCAAAATATTTTGAAACCTTTTTGCCAATAATCCTTTCTAGAACGTTAAATTTTAGGCACTAAGGAAAAAAAGCTCATCAGAAAAGTTGCCATGAAAATATTTGTAGAAAAGACAGAAGGAATCCATGTCATACCGGTGATGCTGGATCAGGATTGATTACATTACAGATCTTTCTTTGGATTTTTTCAAGAATCAAGAGATATTCAGCAAGAGCACCAGACCAAATATGGTAGCAGTATTCAATGCATGAGTAAATACAGGATGTGTAATTGTTAGTTATACGCTTTTTCCATTTAAGCATTATATATGGCATCCTGAGTATGATGATAAACCTCTTAATTGCTGGTGTTTCCAGGTCCCCCTGATCTGAACATTTTTTTTAGGGTCCCAAATACAGGCAAATAGTTAAACTACAAACTGGGGGACAAAAATAGCATCAAAGTGAAAAAAAATAGGTTTAAATTAATTAATCTTTTCATGAAAATTATTATTACCAATGAATTTAGAAGGAAAAATTATTTTTTTTTTTTTGGAAAAAAAAAAACCATTAAAATTTACACTTTTTTTTTAATATCCCAGCAGTTATTTATTTATTTTTATTTGGACTATTTTTCATCTTTGTTATTCATTTTTTTTTAAACATTTCAGCCCAAAAAAAAAAAAACCTTCTTACAGGAAATTCAAAACAATCCAAAGGAAAGACTTTCACTCAACAATTCTTTCCGTTGTTCCCCAGTGCCAGTGTTTAATTTTTTTATGTTATTTTTTTGAAAATTTAACAACTAAAAGTTCTCCAGAAAACTCGTTAAACTGTAAAACCCTTTTGGGTTTTGTTTATTGATATTTTGTTTTCATTTGTCTATGTTCTTAGGACACCTTGACAATTAGGATTTTCCAAAATTGGTTAGAAATTGTGACAGGATCCAAAAATGAAAGTTCAAATTGTTCCAACACTAAGGCACAATCTTTCAGATGTCAAAACAAGGGAAGGACTTAACTCTTTCTGACATCTTTGTTTCACCAAACATGGAATAAAAATTACTCCCTTGTTTTTCAAATAAAAAATTGACATTGAATAATCTTTTGTTATTCCTTCTTTGTGTTTGTTATAATTTAAATGGTGACAAAGATCAAAAGAAATAGTCCAAATAATTAAATAATAAATAGAAAATTTATACATCTTTGTTCTGGAGAATTGACACCTAAAACCCTTTATTTATTAGATTGTTCATTTGCATTATTGTTTATTGGAATGGTTGATAAAACATCGGCTAACTGCTAATTGATTCAAACTTTATAAAATGGTAAATAAAGATTTCCTTACAGTTGGTTCACATATTTTAATAATTTAGTAAATGTTTATAAATGTATGAATAAAAAAAAATTGTTTACATATTTATTTCTTTATGAATTGTTAAATAATAAATATTGCATTAGTTTTAATACAATTGTATTGGTTTTTAGAATGTTGTAAATATAAAATTATTCTTGAAAATAAACAATCCAATAAATAAAGTGTTTAAAATTTTGCTTGTAAATTCTTGAACGAAGAATGCATAAATTCACTTTAGTTTTTATTACAATTCTAATCATCACTTTTTAGAACAATAAACATTGCCAAGGAGTGAAGGTAGTTAAAATAATAGTGGTGTCAAGGGAAAAGCCATCCTTTTGACACACCTTTGTTTCCCTTTTTTTTTTTGCCTTCCAGGCACATGGATTAAATGATTACTTGTGTTATTTATATTATTGTTGTAGAGTAGTCCTCACAGTGGAGGCTTGTATTTTGCTAAGTCAATCCTAAAAGGGTCCGACGTACAAAACGTTAGGAACTTGCAATAATAGTTAATGACGCAGCAATCTAGTTGTGGTCATTGATACTTCAATGTCCGACATCGACTGACTCACTCAACTCCACTGAGCCCAACTGGTGACCGCTACTGCTACTACTTATGTGTGGGAGAGTCTATTACAATATAATAGTTAATGTTCTGGTATAACAATTATTCGGACTGTGACATTTCGGATGTTGTACATTTTGACCTTCTTTAGGTCATTGGAATTTCAAATTGAACCATTTATTTTGTTCACTGGGGTAGGTTGTTCTAGTCCTACGTGCCATGCATCTTCCAGATCTGTTATTTCCCTTTCTTCAAGGACACATGGCCATAGATAAAGATGTTGGTTAGATCCAGTGACTAGACCAAAAATGTTGTGAGTATAGTACTAGGCCATATCAGTGGTGAATCAAAAACTTGGAGCATTGAGTTAAAGGGAAATAACTGAGACATCTGAAAGAGGCATAACATGTGGAACTAGAACAATCTACCCCAGTGGATGAAATAAAGGGTTCAGTTTGAAATTCCAATCACCTGACAATGGCTGGAGTGTTCTGAATATGACAATGAAGATGAGGATAACAGTTCAAATAATATAAATAATGCAAGTAATCATAATACCTCATCTCCAATATAGACAGACAAGGTTATTTCCAAACATTATTATTACCATGTAAAATACAATGTTCTAATTCAGATTAGAATTTTCTCTGAAGCTAATATCTTTCAAGAAGGCAATAACTCATTTTATTTCTCGGTCACCTATTTTCATAGTTTGACTCTCGTTTATGTTGGCAATCAGTTGAGTACCTGCCAATTTATTGATTACACTATTTATAAACAGAGTAATTAATTTATCGTTCTGCCAACCAATAAAGCTTTGTTGCTTCATTCTCTTGCTCTATCATTCCACCTACATCTTTGCCTGGTGGATTAAAATAATTGGTTCTCCATTGTTAACATCAATCCCTATCAACAAGATTTGCTGTTCAAGTAAAAGTTAAATTTTCAAATGCAGGTCTTAAAAACAGCCATTAAAGCAACATGCTCTTTCTATCTTTTTTTAATTATTAAAGCAAGTGCACTCCCAAACTGGCTCCTGTTCTCTCTAAACTATGTAATAAATGCATTGCTGCCTCTTGCTTTCTTGCTTGTTAAAAAATCCTCATCAGTTGTTCTGGTCTTAAAGAAATCAATTGAACTATCCAACCCTCCCAACTATTAGTCTGTCGGCAGCTTGCACGTCTTTTAGTCTGTCGGCGCTTCTTTTAGTCTGTTTAGTCTGTCGGCAGCTTGCACGTCTTTTAGTCTGTCTGCTTGCACGTCTTTTTAGTCTGTCGGCAGCTTGCACGTCTTTTAGTCTGTCGGAATCTTGCACGTCTTTTAGTCTGTCGGCAGCTTGCACGTCTTTTAGTCTGTCGGCAGCTTGCACGTCTTTTAGTCTGTCGGCAGCTTGCTTTTTTTAGTCTGTCGGCAGCTTGCACGTCTTTTAGTCTGTCGGCAGCTTGCGCACGTCTGTTTTTCTTCTGTCGGCAGCTTGCACGTCTTTTTTTAGTTGTCGGCAGTCGTCTTTTGTCTGTCGGCAGCTTGCACGTCTTTTTAGTCTGTCGGCAGCTTGCACGTCTTTCTGTCGGCTGCTTCGTCTTTTAGTCTGTCGGCAGCTTGCACGTCTTTTTTTAGTCTGTCGGCAGTCTTCGGCAGCTTGCGTCTTTAGTCTGTCGGCAGCTTCGTCTTTTAGTCTGTCGGCAGCTTGCGTCGTCTGTCGGCAGCTTGCACGTCTTTTTAGTCTGTCGGCAGCACGTTTTGGTTGTCGGCAGCTTGCACGTCTTTTAGTCTGTCGGCAGCTGCACGTCTTTTTAGTCTGTCGGCAGCTTGCGTCTTTTAGTCTGTCGGCAGCTTGCACGTCTTTTAGTCTGTCGGCAGCTTGCACGTCTTTTAGTCTGTCGGCAGCTTGCACGTCTTTTAGTCTGTCGGCAGCTTGCACGTCTTTTAGTCTGTCGGCAGCTTGCACGTCTTTTAGTCTGTCGGCAGCTTGCACGTCTTTTAGTCTGTTTTAGTCTGTCGGCACGTCTTTTAGTCTGTCGGCAGCTTGCACGTCTTTTAGTCTGTCGGCAGCTTTGCGTCTTTTAGTCTGTCGGCAGCTTTTAGTCTGTCGGCGTCTTTTAGTCTGTCGGCAGCTTGCACGTCTTTTAGTCTGTCGGCTGTTTTAGTCTGTCGGCAGCTTGCACGTCTTTTAGTCTGTCGGCAGCTTGCGTCTTTTTAGTCTGTCGGCGCTTCGTCTTTTAGTCTGTCGGCAGCTTGCACGTCTTTTTAGTCTGTCGGCAGCTTGCGTCTTTTAGTCTGTCGGCGTCTTTTTAGTCTGTCGGCAGCTTGCACGTCTTTTAGTCTGTCGGCAGCTTGCGTCTTTTAGTCTGTCTGTCGTCTTTTAGTCAGCTTGCTCTTTTAGTCTGTCGGCAGCTTGCACTTAATTTTTAGTCTGTCGGCAGCTTGCACGTCTTTTAGTCTGTCGGCAGCTTGCACGTCTTTTAGTCTGTCGGCAGCTTGCACGTCTTTTAGTCTGTCGGCAGCTTGCACGTCTTTTAGTCTGTCGGCAGCTTGCACGTCTTTTAGTCTGTTAGCTTCTGTCGGCAGTCTGTCGGCAGCTTGCGTCTTTTTAGTCTGTCGGCAGCTTGCGTCTTTTTAGTCTGTCGGCAGCTTGCGTCTTTTAGTCTGTGTCTTTTAGTCTGTCGGCAGTCTTTTGTCTGTCGGCAGCTTGCGTCTTTTAGTCTGTCGGCATCTGCTTTCTTTTGTCTGTCGGCAGCTTGCACGTCTTTTAGTCTGTCGGCAGCTTGCATACGTCTTTTTAGTCTGTCGGCAGCTTGCACGTCTTTTTTGTCGCTTGCACGTCTTTTAGTCTGTCGGCAGCTTGCACGTCTTTTTGGTGATGTACTAAAAGCACTAATCAATGCTGGAAATAGTTCAGCATCTCACATCACAGGGCCTCCTCCTATATGGCTTTTGTTTCTCTAGGTCAACAGTTGATGCATTACCATTTAATGCAGAGAGTCTATGAAGCTTTAGATAAGAATGAAGAAGTTGAGGCTGTTCCAACCACCTGTAGAAGCCCGGAGCATACAAGAGCCGAAATGTTGTAATAAATATGGCAACAAAGATGAGGACAATAGTTTTCGAATAATGTAAATAGTGTACATAACACCTCGTCTCAGAAATATAGACAGATACTTCCAGATCCTTTCATACTAATGCAGGTCTCCTTCAAAGGGCTCTATCTTTGGTCCTACTTTGCTTTTAATTTTCATTAAACAACCTTTCTGATGATATCAGCTCACAACTTAGTATATATGCTGATGACATGACCATTACTCCTGTCTCAATAGTTAGTCTGATGAGTACGATAAGGTCAAATTGGCAGCCGATATCGAAAATGACCTTCAATCTGTTAACTGGGGCAAATCCTTGCCTAACTTTTCACTTAGAACCGAGTCTCTGTTGAGTGATATGCATATAACCACTTCCACAGTTTTCGCTATCATCTCTAATTTGGATTCCTACATAGCATATGGACCTGATGGTATCTCTTTAATAGTCCTTAAGAAGCATATTCCTAAACCGGATCTTATTCTCTCTAAACTGTATAATATATTCCTCACTGCCTCTTGCTTTCCTGCTTGTTGGAAATGATTTGTTGTTGCAATCTTTAAATACTCAGGTGAACCGTATAACACTTCCAACTATTGGCCAATTAGCCTTCCACCTTCCAACTACTAAAGGTCCAAATCAATGCTGAATTAGTTAAACATCACACATTGCAGAGCCTTCTTTTAGACAAGCAATATGGCTTTTGCTTCTCTAGGTGAACTGTTAATATATTAACAATTGTTAGAAAGTCTATCAAGCTTTAAGAATGGTGATGCTTTGGCTGTTGCTTTGGACATCTTGAAAGCATTTAACAGGGTTTGGCATACTGGTCTTCTTCACAAGTTAAAAAACTATGTTGTCACTGAATGATTTTTGAAGTGATTCAGTCTTTCTTATAAAATTGTGTAATGAAAGTTATCTTGAATGGCCACTCTTCTAGATCCTTTCATACTAATACAGAAGGGTCCTTCAACGGGCTCTATCTTTGGTCCTACTTTGTTTTTAATTTTCATTAACGCCATTTCCGATGACATCATCTCTTAACTTGGTATCTACGCTGATGACACAACCATTTACTCCTGTCTCAATAGTAAGTCTGATCAGTACAATAAGGTCAAATTAGCAGCTGATGTCATAAACGACCTATGGTCTATTGTTAACTAGGTGCAAAGAATGATTTGTTAATTTTAATGCTTCAAAAAGGACACTTATACTTAGAATGAGAAAGAGTTGAAATTTTTGGTGCTACATAATGAGGATAGAGAGCTTGGAGAATTTGACACTCACAAGACATTAAAAATAAGAGTATAAGTCTAAGATGTTTGTAATAGATGTCAGATGAATTGGAGAGGGATACTAAATAGGAAACATTCCTAAGTACTACAAAGAATAGGAAGATGTGGTGTGCCATGATCATCAACATCCTGAAGAGACATGGCACATAGAAGAAAAAGAAGCAAAGCCTGATACTTAAAAGAAAAAATGGCATAAGGGCAAAAAGAAATGGGGAGGGCTTGTCTTCACCTGTCTTACACTTCATTTGAACAAAGAAAAGATGTGCAATGTAATATTAGTCTATCTATATGGCAATCAATACTTGACAATATCCTCATAGGTCAAAATGAGATGTGACACAATAAATGTGGTTCCACAGAAGGATGCTGAGAATACCATAGACAGAACACGTGAGTCTGCTCAGATCGATAAGGTCAAAATGGTGGCTGATGTCAAACAACCTACAGTCTGTTAAATGAGGGAAAGAATGAATTGTTAATTTTAATTCCTCCAAAGCAACTGCTCTCTATTAATCATCTGAAAGACCCCTTTCTGCTTTCCCTCATCATGGCTGGTGCTAACCTCCAGGAGAGTAACCCCCCACCTTTTTTCTGGTGCTAACCCCAGGAGAGTGAACCCCTATAAAGACCTTTTTTCTGGTGCTAACCCTCCAGGAGAGTGAACCCCCACCTTTTTCTGGTGCTAACCTCCAGGAGAGTGACCCCCCCTTTCTGCCTTCTATCATCATGGCTGATGCTAACCTCCTGTTGGATTTGAAATGAGCCCATTCCAAGTTGATCTCTGGTATTGTCTCTTACTTTGTATACCACACAGTACTACTATTTCCTTTGCCATAATCAGTGATATTATGTATGAGCCTGGTCTTAGGTGTGTCATTAAGAATTATGAGATCAGTGAACTCTCAATGTATTTTCTTCTTAGCGAATTTTTAAGTCAAAATTTGCAACAATTGGTTATCAGGCTAATAGATAATGTCACCAACCATATGGCATGAAGATTGTGTTCAAGCATGAAACACTGTTGTCACCCAGTGTTGAATTCAGTGAATATATATTTTTTATTATTAAATGCATTAGTTATACATAGAAATAAATTCAACTACAACTTTGGTCTAAAGAATGCCATACTTATCAAAAGGGAAAGTAACTTACTTAGAAGGAAAATTCTCAAAAATGCTGTTATTGAATCTTATCAAAATATAAATCTGAGCCCCAGAATTTTTTCAAATATCTCCATTCCTGAAAGAGTTACTACTTTTCAAAGTCGTGACAAAAAACTAAAAGAAAACAGTTAAACTGATGACCGCATATTATTCAAAAGATATAACAAATAAATTAAACCCAAACTAAATTAATTCAAATACTAATTTGCAAAAAAAAAAAAAAATCTAAAACACCATTTCTCATTTATTAGAAATTGACTTTGTCCTCCATTGTTTGCCTGAGTTTTCAGCTAACCTGATTAATATTAATTATGAGTCTGTTTTAAAGACCAATATTTTTGCTCTTGTATATAAAGACTTGTTACAAAATAAAATCCTTGCATTTGTCTTTATAAAATCCCTCATAGGACGAAACACATCAACTAAGTTAAGTTTCCCTTTTGTCTTTATTCTCATGTTATTTTTAATTTGTTTAAACAATATTTTTGATGGATACTCATATTCAAGTAGAAGCTCTTTTTTATCCCACTACATCTACCAGGCTGATTATTCTAAAAATCTTATCAGAAAACAAGCAGGATTCAAACTTGCATCCCCTATGTGTAACCGTCTTTGGATCTGATATGCCTAACCACTCAGGCATGTAGGACTTATGGTCAAACACAGCACAAATAGTGCCTTGTGTGTTTGTGTGTGTGTATATATATATATATATATAAATATAGTCTTAAGGTGTGCTATATTTATGGGATAAAGTGCTCAATATCAGAGATAGAGCGTGTGTAAATATAAAAAGTGAACATAAGTCAACACTTAGAGGCGACAGTCTATTTCATGCTATATATGTAATCGTCAGGCCACATATGCTGTTATTTTTTCTCGGCTATTTATATATATATATATATATATATATATATTGGTGGGTTAGTGGTGCATTGTGGGTATTCTATTATGGCGGTTATTTTTACCGGAAGTCGCTTTTGTTTATTTATTTGGGTCAAATTATATTGCTCGTTTTATTTTTTTGTTTCTTATTTTATTTATTTATTTATTTATTAACGTAGTAAAAATTTGTTTATATCACTTATTTAACAGTTTTGTTTTGGTTTGAGAATTTAATTAAAGCTATTTGTTCAATTTTTGGGTTGGTTGTTGTAGTTCATTCTATTATTTTTTTGGCGGGAACAGTTTTTTTAATTTGGGATTGGTTTGTCTATTTATTTACTTGGATGAATTTAGGTCAATTTATTTGTATATTTTCTCTTTTTGGTTTTCGGTTTTTAAACAACATAGTATTTATTTTTTTATTTTATTTTATTTTTTTATTAGTGTATTTGATTGTTTTTATTTTATTTTTTTCCGTTTTTCATTTTTTAGGTTACGTAGTAAAAATTTATTTTCATGCCTGCATTTTGAGATGAGCTCGGATCTTTTATTTAATAATTTATTTTGGTCGGGGAAATTAATGATAGCTATTTTTTCCTCCAAGCAAAGTTTGCAAGTTTTTGATTGGTTGTTGTAGGCTGATGACTTTTTCCTTATCTTCCAAGATATTTTTGGTGTGATGTGCGTTTTGTTTTTTTTATTTCCCAGATATACTTAGAAAGCATAGTACTGTTCGCATATTTACTATTTGTGAACGATGTTTTGTGTGTATAATTTCTTTGCTTCCAGGGTCCTTCAGTTACTCCTATATACACTTTTTCTTCATTATCTGGGGATTTTATCGTGGCTTGGTATATTACGTTGTTTTGTAAACAATTTCCGTTTAAGGGACATTCGTTCTTTATTCTGCAGTTGCACGTGGGTTTAATTTGTTCGTGTGGTTTGTTGATAATTTTCCTATTGTGCTTTTTTATTATTTATGCCATGCTCTCGGTGCAGCTGTAGCTGATTTTTACTGTGTTTTTGTTGAATATCTTGTGTAAGGTGCTTGATTCTGGGAAGTGTTTGTGTAAGAGTTTGAAGAATATTTTTCCTACGTTTGTTTTTACGTTCTTGCTGTACGGTGGGTTGAACCATATGATATTTCTTCTCCTGTTGGCCTTTTTTGTATTCTGTGGTGAGTATGTGAGTATTGCTGGGAATCCGCTATCTTTTAGGGCCGTTTCATAGTCTTTCTTAGCTTTGTTAAATAGGGATTCATTGGAGGAATTGTCGGAGAGCCTGCGGTTAATCGATTTTGGTATCTGTTTGATTGTAGAAGGCGGATGGTTGGAAGATGTGTGTATGTAGAGTGGTTTATCGTTAGGTTTTCTGTATGGTTTATATGTGCCTTCTCTTAGGTTGAAGGTAACATCTAGGAAATCTACTTCGTTTAGGTTAGTTTTTATATCTATGTCGAATCCGTTATTTTTAAAAATCTTTATTATTGCTTTTCTAGTTTTGTCTGTGTTTTGTTTGTTACAGTTTCTTAAGATTATGAGACCGTCGTCCCTGTAGTGTCCTGTGTCATTTTTATCTATTATTTTGCTCAGTTCGTGTAGTAAGTAAATGTCTATGATTTCGCATGTCTCTGCACCGTCAAAGCTTCCCATTGTAGTGTCAAATATCCCAGCTTTCTTTATCCATGCTTCTTCATTGTGGAATAATAATGATTTACGGGAGTGCTTAATGATGTTGATTTCGCTTGGTTTTATTATTATTTGTTCCTGAGCTAAGTTGATGGCCTTATCTAGCATACGTTCTGTTATGGATGGGTAAAATTCTTTTATGTCTAATTGTAGGAATTGGCAATTTTGTTTGTTATTTATGTTGTGGAACCAGTCAATAGTTGTTTTCGTATTTTTCCACTGGTTTACTCCTAATTTCTTCCTAAGTTCAGAATGAATTCTTTCTAGTATTGTTTTACTTATTTTACCTAGTTCGCTTTTGGCTGGGTTTATATATAAAAACAGCACTGACATCTCATTTTAACAGATACGTTTACCAAAATTACACAAAAATATCTTCAAATACTAAAATCGCTTTTGGCTTCAACACTGCCCTCCAGATGACTTGGGAATTTCCTGCAACTCTTCTGGACAGTTTCCTTATTTAAGTTGGTGACTATTGCCATAATCCTTGCCTTCAGATCATCTTTGGTATTAAAAGGAGTATTGTTGGTCTCTCTCTCAACTGTACCCCACACATAATAATCAAGGGGGTTGCAGTCTTTTAGTCTGTCTGCCCTTGTACGTCTTTTTGTCTGTTAGGTGGCCAGATGTAAAGGGTGATGTGGTCACAGAAATTGTTTGATAGCCACAACAGGCTTCTCCTGCTTGTGTGGTATGGTGAAGAGTCCTGTTGCTAAACATAGGTTCCTACAGCAGCCACCCTCTTAACCCAGGGCAACACGGCCTCCTCAATGCACCTGATGAAGACCTCCATGTTGAGTCTGAGACCCTCTGGAAAGATGAATGGAGGCATAATGTTGTCATTACTAGTGATCACTCCAAACAACATGATGTTGACTGGATATATCTTTTTAAATCCTCTATACTGTCCTCAGATTGACACCCAAACACAGTGAAATGTTCAAATTGGTGTTTCCGGCATGAATGACAACCAATACAGCATGCTGTTTTCAAATTTCTCATGGAGTGAATTGCATCATGGTGCTCTTTTTCTCACAGTGTTCGCAACGGACCCTACTATACTATGAAGTTGACAAAATCAAAAACTGGAACTGTAGAATACGTCGACTGCAACACTGCAGAGGGGTAAGCCCCCCCCTCCACAATGGGGCATCCTGGGTACGACAAACTATATCCACATCCAGGGCAAGACAATAAACTACGTCCAACAACAAGGCCTCTGATCAGGAGGCTTTGAAGAGTGTGGAACCACCTCTTAATTGCTGGTGTTCCCAGGTCCACCCTGACCCGGGGTGGTAGCACCTGTTAGGGTCTAAGCTATGGGCAAATATTTAACCCAGAAACTGAGGAAAAAAGGCATTATAAAAGTGTAAAATTAGGTTATAATACCAGAAATACTTTAGTAAAAAAATTATTACCAGAAATAAATTTTTGAAGAAAAAAAAAATATTACCAGCAATGTTTTTGAAAAAATAATATTACCAGCTGTACATTTTTGAAAAAATAATATTACCAGCTGTACATTTTTGAAAAAAATATTACCAGCTATACGTTTTTTTGAAAAAAAAATATTACCAGCTATAAATTTTTTGAGAAAAAATTAAAAATAGTTTTTTTTTGAAAACAAAAGAACGTTTTTTTTGAAAACAAAAATATTAACAGAAAAAAAAATGTTGTCGGAATTAAATGACCCATTGAGGTTGATATGCCGTAAAACAAACTAAATCAAAAACACTGTGCATGTATGAAATTAAAAATATAGAATGGTGACAATTTACCCATCACACTCTGTATATATGGCTGGTTATTTTTCATTTCCTGGATATATCTATGTACTTAGCCATTCCTTTTTGAAAAACAACTGCTCAAGCACAGAGGTCTCTTGTGGCTGATACTGCAACTATATTGAGTTAGTTCCTGTGAGAGACTGCATAATCTGTCATGATCAGCAGTTTGAACTATTCCAGTACACTCAAAGCCTCTGTCACAATGACTTGAGATTTCCAAATTTTCCACATAATTTCATGCTCAAGGCTTGATATAGTGATATAGTTTTCAAGTGACTGTCCATACTTGCACGCTGGGATCACCTCCCCCCAGACAGATAGCATCAAACAGATCACTGTGTTATACCAGACAATTTCTCTTGTCAGAATCTTACACATTTATCAATCCACCATTCTTCCATTGCTGTCAAATTTCAATTGTTACCTTCTGTCCTCTTAATTTTTGTATTATTTTATTTTTTAATTTTTAATATTTTCTTTTTTTAATACTTTTTTTAATACTCTCTCACAATCAGTAACCACCTTTGCATCTTTGTTGACTTGTTTTGAGTAATAGTATTTTTAAAAAATACTTCAAGAATTAACCGTGGTGAAATTTGAACCAAGATCTAATGGTTAAAAAATGAATGTCCCAACATCTCAGCTACACACACTTACATATAAACACGTGTGTGTGTCTGTAGTTTGATGGATAAAATGTCTGATCATAGATTGTGTGTGCAGCCGATGGACTAGGTGCCTGGCCATAAGATAATATAGCCGATGGACTAGGTGCCTGGCCATAGATAGTGTCTGCGATGGACTAGGTGCCTGGCCATAGAAAATAATGTGCAGCCGATGGACTAGGTGCCTGTGATAGATAGTGTGTGCAGCCGATGGACTGGGTGACGAATATATAGTGTGTGCAGCCGATGGACTAGGTGCCTGGCCATAGATAGTGTGTGCAGCCGATGGACTAGGTGCCTGGCCATAGATAGTGTGTGCAGCCGATGGACTAGGTGCCTGGCCATAGATAGTGTGTGCAGCCGATGGACTGGGTACAAAATGTAATAGTGTGTGCAGCCGATGGACAGAAGGTTAGTAAAAATGAATAGTGTGTGCAGCCGATGGAAAGGTGTATGAATGTTGATAGTGTGTGCAGCCGATGGAAAGGTGCCTTTTAGATAGTGTGTGCAGCCGATGGACTAGGTGCCTGGCCATAGATAGTGTGTGCAGCCGATGGACTAGGTGCCTGTTTCATAAGATGGTGTGTGCAGCCGATGGACTAGGTGCCTGGCCATAGATTTAGTGTGTGCAGCCGATGGACTAGGTGCCTGGCCGCCAGATGGTGTGTGCAGCCGATGGACTGGGTGGTGCCTGGATAGTGTGTGCAGCCGATGTTTGGTGCCTGGCCATAGATAGTGTGTGCAGCCGATGGACTGGGTGCCTGGCCAGAGAATGTGTGTATAGCCGATGGACTGGGTGCCTTTTTTATAGATGGTATGTGCAGCCGATGGACTAGATGGCCATTTTCAGTGAAATGCAGCCGATGGACTAGGTGCCTGGCCATAGATAGTGTGTGCAGCCGATGGACTAGGTGCCTGGCCATAGAAATCTGTGCAGCCGATGGACAAAGGTGCCTGGCCATATATATATGTGTGCAGCCGATGGAGGTGCCTGCCATATATATATGTGTGCAGCCGATGGACTGGGTGCCTGGGGTGTGTGCAGCCGATGGAAAAAAAAAAAAGATGTGTGTGCAGCCGATGGACTAAAAAAATGGCCTTAGATAGTGTGTGCAGCCGATGGATGGTGCCTCTTATATAGATTATATATATATAGCCGATGGATATAGTGTGTGCAGCCGATGGACTAGGTGCCTGGCCAACAGATGTCTTTTGTGCAGCCGATGGACATTGGTGCCTGATATATATGATATGTGTGGCAGCCGATGGACTGGGTGCCTGGCCATAGATAGTGTGTGCAGCCGATGGACTGGGTGCCTGCCCATAAGATAGTGTATATAAGCCGATGGACAGATAGATGTGTGTAAAGCCGATGGACCAGGTGCCTGGCTGAAAAGATGGTGTGTGCAGCCGATGGACCAGGTGCCTGGCCATAGATAGTGTGTGCAGCCGATGGACTGGGTGCCTGGCCAGAGATAGTGTGTGCAGCCGATGGATGGGTGACTGGCCATAGATAGTTCCAGCCGATGGACTGGGTGCCTGGCCATAGATGGTGTGTGCAGCCGATGGACTGGGTGCCTGGCCATAGGACTGAAGCCGATGGACTGGGTGCCTGGCCATAGATAGATTGTGATGGACTAGGTGCCTGGCCATAGAAAGTGTGTGCAGCCGATGGTTGGGTATACAACAGAATGCCGATGGACTGGTGCCTGGCCACAGATAGTGTGTGCAGCCGATGGACTGGGTGCACAGCCATAGATAGTGTGTGCAGCCGATGGACTAGGTGCCTTTTGTAGAATAGTGTGTGCAGCCGATGGACTAGGTGCCTGGCCATAAATTATGTGTGCAGCCGATGGACAGGTGCCTGGCCATATAAGTGTGTGCAGCCGATGGACTAGGCCGATGTGTGCAGCCGATGGAAAAGGTGCCTGGCCATAGATAGTGTGTGCAGCCGATGGAAAGGTGCCTGGATAGATGAGTGTGTGCAGCCGATGGACTGGGTGCCTGGCCATGAAGATAGTGTGTGCAGCCGATTAATGCCAATTATGTGTGCAGCCGATTGATAGATGTTTAAAATAATGATAGTTCAATCTAAATCCAATCTTGTGGTTGATGAAATGTTTTCCACCTAAAATTTTCTTTCCTACAGATGAAAATTGAAAGCTTCTCTCTTGTCTCTTGCTATTTTCCATGGAAAGTTTTTAAATTACATTCATTACAAAAAGACAAGACTGACAATGTAATAATGATAAAAGTTGTGGTAATGATGATGTTAACAACAAGAATAATAAAAACAATAACAATGGCAAAAAACAGTACTAATGGTGGTAGAGATGGTTATGAAGTGATTGTTCCTAAAGTGGTAACCGCGGTACTGGTAGTGAAAATAATAGTAGTTATTTTTGGTAGGTACATAAAATGGTAACAATAATACTAATAGTGAAAGTAGTAGTAGTCAGTGTATAGTTTTTTTTTTTGTGATGTTGGATAAGTTTTAACCAAAAATTGTCTTCATTTTTTATAATTTGGTTTAAAATCTTTTTGTAAAGTTTTAGAAATGAAATCCAAAAATTTTTGGAAATTTTAAAATATCACTCAAAAAACACCCACACTATATGAATTAATATATATATATATATATATATATATATATATATATATATATATAGTATAGTCATCCACAGACACTGTATCACTGTATCGCCGCTCATCAGTGTGGCTAGACGACTTGTTGCCTCTAGCTAGGATTGAAATCTGGCTGAATTGGCATAAGTTGGAGATTTTACCCCTAAGCCATTGGCACACACCAGGAAAGAAGGTGAATTTTAAGCATATTTATTTTTAGATAAACATACATTGACTGAGAGGACTCGATTTATTTTACCGAAGAGTCTTGCATTATCAGCTGTAATAGTCACTGTCTACAAGCTCACATTTCCTTCCCCAGAGAGCTCAACTGAAACAGATTCTTCAGGAGCATATATATTTACATTCACAGACACTGTTTCACTGTATCACAGCTCATCAGGGTGGCTAGACGGCAGGGAAGAAGGTGAGTTTTAAGAGATCAAGAGAACTCGATTCGCTTTTATTGAAGTCTTGCATTTTATATATATATAATTATATACACTAGCAGTAGAGCCCGGCGTTGCCCGGGGATGTAACAGTAAGAGATAGATCAAGTATCGACCATCATAAAGACTGAAAAATAAAATTGACAAAGATTATTGTTTAAGGTTGACGGACACGCATGTCTTAATTAGCTTTTTTTTCTTTTTTTTTTTTTTTTTTACGAATTGGTCAAACTCAAAGAAAAACATTGTTTTCAATCGTTATGAGTCTCTACCGATTGAATAGAATTTTATTATAAACAATTGTCTTGTAAATGGAATTTTAAAGCATTCTGAATGTAAAAAAAAAAAAAAAGTGTGCAAGACAATAAGAAACACTACCTGCCAAAAAAAAAAAAAGTTTTGTTGAAATCTGTTGAAAAATGTAGGAAATCAGATCCCATATATAAACGAACACACACACACACACACACACACACACACAACCTGGGTTTTATAATAAGTATAACTCGATAAGACTTGTCCCCCTTTCATTCTTGTGATGCCTCTTAATCGTGTTTTCAAATTGATTTCGTGCAAAAACAATTGTTTTTCCAATTTTTTGTGCTGTCAGAACCACCGCAAGGTAATTTTACGTAGTCCTGTGAAGTTTTGTTGAAATCGGTTGAAAAATGTAGGAAATCCGATCCAATATATAAACGTACACACACACACAATCTGCGTTTTATAATAAGTAAGATATATATATATATATATATATATATATATATATATATATAATTTTATGATTCAATATATAATGAAATGGACTAAGTCCGACAATTATTTTAATATATTCAAATAAACAGTATTAATTACATTTAAATTCCTCAGGCATTTAGTAAATATAATTAATTCTGTTTATTAAAAACATTTACTTAAATAATTTATCTATAAACAGAAATATATATATATATATATATATAAAATATATATATATATATATATATATATATATATATATATATATATATATATATATACACACACACACACAGAAAGATGACTTAAATGTAAGTATCAGTTTTCGATGTTGCTTCCCCAATTTTGAAGTTTCTTGGAATTATCCATTCTTTAAGGAATGTATTGTGTGGATAAATTTATTTACAATTTTTTTTCAATTTTTTTTTTTTTTTTTTTTTTTTTAAATCCTTTATGTGCACATTAATGAGTTTTATGTTTTTTTTTTTACATGTGCATGTTCAAGAATCTTTGTTTCAGTTTGTGTTCGTTCAGGCTGTTTCATGCTAGACAGAATTGTCAGGCCTGATGATTGTATCTAGCATGAAAAAGCCTGTCACCTCTGAGTGTTGACTTCAATGTTCACTTTTATATTTACATATGCTCTATCTCTGATATTGAGCACTTTATCCCATAAATATAGCACACCTTAAAACTATATTCCCTCATATATATATATATATATATATATATATATATATATATGTTTCATTAAAAACGACAGACAAGGTACTACGGTTGAGCATTTTAATTTTTCTTGTGTTCTGACAAGAGCTTTCTTTTCTGGACAAAGAGTGTGTAAGAACTGTCCGAACGGCCAACCTTATCCTCAAAAATAACAACACACCAACTAAGTCAAAATTACAAAGAACAAACATTATCTATGAGTTCAAATGCCCTTTAAGGAACTGCGTTCCTCACCAAACCGGACTCAAAAATAATTACATCGGCTACACAACTACATGTTTATCCAGTCGTCTTACATTACACCTATCTGATTACAGTCCCATCAGAACACATTTAAACACACACTCAGATTTACCCGACACTATTAGGAACATACTAGTAGAAAACACAAATATATTAACTGCATCCACTTGCAAAAAAAAGACTAAAAATAATGGAAGCTCTAATAATAAAAAAAAAAAAAGCCAACTCTTAACAATATTAACTATGAACAAAGCCACAATGTGCTAACCGTATTCGGAACTAAAAACATCACTACCACACACTGAACATACTCTACTAAGCTGATAATTGAATCATCCTTGATAATGGCTAAAGGTATAGCCGAAAGCGCTCGGAAACACAGAACATTCGGTAGTTCTTACACACTCTTTGTCCAGAAAAGAAAGCTCATGTCAGAACACAAGAAAAATTAAATAAAAAGCTCAACCGTAGTACCTTGTCTGTCGTTTTTAATGAAACATGCATAAAGGAAGGATTGCTGCCTAAATATACAAATATATATATATATATATATATATATATATATAAAATATTTTATATCGCTACACAAAAATTTCTGTTTCGGAACTCAAAAATTGTTCATCATCAGGTGATGTTGGATAACTTATGATGAAAATGATTTACTTGGAAAATCAGAAAACAATTCAGTCGCTCATTTGGGACATAAAAAGGAGAGGGGAACCAAGAATCCAAAATTAAAAAAAAAAACATTTGTAGGTATGTCTTGATTAATCAATCAAAAGACGGATCAAAGCTAAAATAGAAAAATGAGGTCAGAAGTTAGGGGCAGGTGGGTTATTAATTCATGTCTAGATAAATTGACACATTCTGGGACGTCAGCACAGACAACATCCGGTTACAAATATAAATTTAAGATACATTGAAGTAGACAGATGTATATTTAACAAAAGCTTTAATTTTAAGGAATTTCAAGATATTTTATAAATTTTTTTTTATATACTTCAGAACCATCTTAAAGGGGCCTCCAATGTCATTAAAACATATATATATATATATATATATATATATATATATATTTTTTTTTTTTTTTTTTTTTTTTTTTTTTTTACAACCCAACATATGATACTTATTATATTGATTGGGTAATAAAACATGGCAATAATAAAGTTGAAAAATCAAAAGAATTAAATAAATATTATATGGACCAGAAATTCCCATTTTTTTTTTTTTTAATGTTTCGTTTTACAGTAGGGGTTTTATGGATTTCTTTTAAATGCCAAAAATATTTAGAAAAGGATGTCTGGTTACAATACGCATTGTTGTTAAAGGAAGATATATGCTGATATCACCTTTGTTTAAAGGGGTTTTTGTGCTACCAATATAAAATTTCTTAACAGTTAGCTTTTCAGTAGATGAAATGGTGCATTGGTAAACAATTGATTCCGTAAGACACCTATTTTGCAATGGACAATTTATAGGATTTCTACAATTACATAATTTATTATTAATTTCTGCTTTGGAATTACTATTTTAAGCTTAAGTGTTGATTTTATATATATATATATATAATGTCAGTTTCCTATTCAAAATGTAAACGAAAAATTTGGAATTAATGGCTTCATTTTTAATCCACCTTATTCTTACAAACATTACTATACTGGACACTCTCATTTGAAAAACACTGCCACCTTTTTTATTTTAAACAATGTGTTTTACTATTTTATTGTTTGTTTTATTTTATTGGTCTGAACATTTGAGGAATCTAATAGTGAAAACATGTTCTCCTGTCGTTTTTAATTAGCTAGTGGTATCGCTCTGTCCCCCAACCCACTGGGGAGAAAGTTCTTCAAGACACAGACTAAACACATCTACTGTGTTTGACATATAAAACTTAACTCCCTGGAATCACTTTTTATCTTCCTAATTTTCCTACATTAGTTTTAACCAATCAAAAATTACTTCCTCTGTTTTGAACCCTTTATTTCATCCACTGGGGTAGATTGTTCTACTTCCATGTGCCATGCTTCTTTCTCAAGGACACATGGCCCCGTGGTTAAAGACATTGGTTAGATCCAGTGACTAGACTCAAAGGGTTGTGAGTTCAATACCAAGCCACAACAGTGGTGAACCAAAAATTTGGTGAGTTGAGTTAAAGGGAAATAACTGATATATCCACTCGAGGCTTGGCACACGGAAGTAGAACTGTCAGTGAATGAAATAGAGAATTTGGTTCAAAATTCCACTTGCCTGAAGAAGGCTGAAGTGTACAATGGCCAAAACATTGTGAATATGGCAAGGAAGATGAGGATAACAGTCCGAATAATATAAATAATGCAAGTAATCATAATACCTCATCTCATAAATATAGAGGATGAAACGTTGTGAATACGGCAATGAAGATGAGGATAACAGTCTGAATAATGTAAATAATGTGAAACTTATGTTTGATCTGGCATACTTTACTGCTCGGCCATGGAGATTGTCACAGTTAAGGTCCTGTTTTCCCTTTTTAAGGAAAACACATCCTCCTCAAAGTATACCTGATGAGATGGTTTTGATCCCTGATGAGAACACATTCTGTCTATTATTTATTAACATGGTTTTCTTCTGTTTTTTTCTAAAAATATTTTCATGGCGTTAGTTCTTATGAGCTTTCCTCCTTTATTACATTGATTGTATGAATTTAAGTATACTATTAGATTTGCTACCAGGTTTCTTTGCTTTACTATTACATTAGCTTAGATTTAACTAGAAGAAGAGCAAATATATGGAGTAAGTAGTTGTCATTAGTATAGATAAGGAGTCAAGAAGTGATATCAGGAGGTTGTTGATGAAAATTCAAACCAAAGTAGGTCAAAGAATAGAGACCATGGTGATACCCACATTAATGTAAAAAGATCTAGAAGAGTGGCCATTCAAAATGACATTCATTTCATGATTTGATAAGATTGAATCCAATCAAAACTTGTTCCTGCTTTCAAACCTTAACATAGTTAATAAGCTAATTTTGTAATTAATTATTGTGTAATTATTATCAATCAGTAGTACATGCTCAAGACTTGTCCTTGTGCCTGATAAGCGACCTGTCACTTTTAAACATGTGTCATACTCACCAAAATTCAGTATATCCCAAGATATGACAAATTGTGTGGTTGCCCTTTAAAAATTAATAGCACCTTAATTCATTGGATGTCAGGAGATTCTTAGCAAGAGTTTCCTAATGTTTTATGTACCTCATAAAATAGACTTTTGATTGGTCAATAAATAAACAGACTTTTGATTGGTCAATCACATGATTCATTGTATAAAAATTATCTTTATTATCTGGAAGTAGAAGTTAATTATTTATGATGTGACTAATATTAATGATGGAAGTATGGTGCTGTCTAAATATTTGATTGTATTTACATAGAAATATTTTTCATTTTTCTGTCTGATATTTTCTTTCTTTCTGTCTGTCTGTCTGTCTGATATTTTCTTTTCTAGCTTTTTTTAAGATTTTCAACACCATCTTTTTAGATATTTTGTTTTAAATTTCTTTTGGATATTCTATCTCTTCTCTCTCTTCTCTCTTTTCTCTCTTTTTTTCTCTATTCTTTTTCAATCACCCATTTTTTGTTCATTCTTTATTAGATATTCTACCTTTTTTTAATTTTTTTGTCCTTACATACTTTAGATTTTCTCAGTCTTTCCTTTTTATATATTTTCATTCTTTCTCCTTCCTTCTCCCTACTCTGTCTTTTACTCACCTGCTTTCTTTAAAAAAAATAGTCTCCTTCTTTCATTTTATTTTTCATTTTCTCCTCCTCTTTTTGCCTATTTTCATTGTATTTTTTCTTCTTTGATACTCACAGCTTCTCTTTACTTCTGTAAGACATTTTCAGTGTTCTTTCTTCCATTCATTCTTTTTTAAATCTTCTCATTCGTTTCTTTTTCTTTACTTCTCATTCTTTTATTCCTTTAATTCTTTTTAAAGTTCCACTCTGTCTTTACTTTCTCTTCCCATTCTTTATTCAGTCTTTCTTCTTTAAATGTATTCTTCTTCTCTACCTTTTTTGTTCAGTCTTTCTTTAAAGGTTTTTTTTTTATTCAGTCTTTCTTCTTTAATTTTTTTTTTTTATTCAGTCTTTCTTCTTTTTTTTTTTTTTTTATTCAGTCTTTCTTCTTTAAAGGTTTTTTTTATTCAGTCTTTCTTCTTTAAAGGTTTTTTTTTTATTCAGTCTTTCTTCTTTAAAGTTTTTTTTTATTCAGTCTTTCTTCTTTAAAGGTTTTTTTTTCAGTCTTTCTTCTTTTTTTTTTTTTATTCAGTCTTTCTTCTTTAAAGGTTTTTTTTTATTCAGTCTTTCTTCTTTTAAGGTTTTTTTTTATTCAGTCTTTTTCTTCTTTAAAGGTTTTTTTTTTATTCAGTTTTTTCTTCTTTAAAGGTTTTTTTTTTTATTCAGTATTTTTCTTCTTAAAAGGTTTTTTTTATTCAGTCTTTCTTCTTTAAAGGTTTTTTTTTATTCAGTCTTTCTTCTTTAATTTTTTTTTTTTATTCAGTCTTTCTTCTTTAAAGGTTTTTTTTATTCAGTCTTTCTTCTTTAAATATTTTTTTTATTCAGTCTTTCTTCTTTTAAGGTTTTTTTTTCAGTCTTTCTTCTTTTAAGTTTTTTTTTCAGTTTTCTTCTTTTTTTTTTATTCAGTCTTTCTTCTTTAAAGGTTTTTTTTATTCAGTCTTTCTTCTTTAAAGGTTTTTTTTTTATTCAGTCTTTCTTCTTTAAAGGTTTTTTTTTTATTCAGTCTTTCTTCTTTAAAGGTTTTTTTTTTATTCAGTCTTTCTTCTTTAAAGGTTTTTTTTTTATTCAGTCTTTCTTCTTTAAAGGTTTTTTTTTTATTCAGTCTTTCTTCTTTAAAGGTTTTTTTTTTATTCAGTCTTTCTTCTTTAAAGGTTTTTTTTTTATTCAGTCTTTCTTCTTTAAAGGTTTTTTTTTTTATTCAGTCTTTCTTCTTTAAAGGTTTTTTTTTTATTCAGTCTTTCTTCTTTAAAGGTATTCTTCTTCTTTAAAGGTATTCTTCTTCTTTAAAGGTATTCTTCTTCTTTAAAGGTATTCTTCTTCTTTAAAGGTATTCTTCTTCTTTAAAGGTATTCTTCTTCTCTTCTTTTTTTTCTTTTCTTTGGTTCTTTGATTCATCCATTCTTTTTTTTTTTTTTTCTTATTTCCAAATCTAGGTTTGGAGATGGAGGCACTGGCATACAGATGTTCTTTGTTTGTTTTTTTTCTACTCTAAAATATTTTATTCTATTCAAAACATTTGTAACCATATTTAGAATAAGGATTCATTTTATTAAAACCCCAATATTCAGAAATCAAGAAGAAAATTAAATATGCTATGAAACAACTTTAAAATATTCTACACCCCATCACCATACACCTTTTTTCTCCGCATATCTAAGTATTCATCTATATATATATATATATATATATATTTTTTTCTTTTTTTTTTTTTTCTTTAACCATTTCACCCCAAGTAAAGTGGGAGTGCCACTAGTACGCAAGGGGTTACAGAGAATGGGAGTAAGAGTGAAGAGAAGTACAGGGAATAGATCAAGCCATTTGGAGATGTCAATTGACATTACATTTGATTAGTTGGAGATCATAGCTATCAAGAAAGCAAACAACAGGAAGAGCATTCCACAGACAGGAAGTGGAAGACATGAAGCCACTGGAGTAGAAGAGATGGCTACATTTAACATTTTCGACAGTGAAAGGGTGGGACCGAGATGCCAACCTAGTATCACACTTAAATTCATGCAGTTTGGAAGCCAGCGAAAGTAGATCGTCAGGGCAGTTGCCATGAAAGTATTTGTAGAAAAGACAGAGGAAAGTAATGACATGTCTGTGAGAAAGTGGCTGTAAACGAGATGCCAGATCAGGGCCAATCACATTGCATTTCCATCTCTGGATTTAAATCCTAATATATTGTTGAAAAAAATTAAATGCTATACATAGATATTTTAATTAATCATATGTTCTGTAGAGGTTAGGTGCACATTTTAAAATATAAAACATAATGGAAGACAAGGCTTATCTATAATTTCATGTCCAAAACTTGTAACAAATTCTGTTATTGCATGGTATTGAGAAATGTAAAAAGGTTATGGATAGAATAATTGAAGTAATCGTCTTTTACATACAATGATAAGTTCTTGAATAAATGTCGGACAAACCAATAATCATGTTACCAATAAATGAGGTTGGATCTCTACATTGCATAACACTATATATATATATATATAGCATATAGAAGGGTACTAATCATTTAATCAGGGTGAGAATTTCAGTTTTTCTTATATGCCTCATACTACTGGACATCTATTCTGTCTACTATTTTATATATATATATATATATATATATATATATAATGTTTGCTATTTATATATATATAAAGAATAGCAAACACTTAAGATCCCATAGGTTTTGGTCATTTTAAGTGTTTGATATTCTTTAATTAACAATAATTTTGCATAGAGCTATCCCTGGATTGATATCCTCCTGGAAATTCCATACAGATTACCATATTGTATCATTACTAAAATAAATAAATATATATATATATATATATATAAGCAAATGTAAATGGATATAGATCCGACAGAATGAAGAAAAATTTGGAAAAAACAAACAAAAATCCTTAAATGCAATTTAAACAACATAATTGCATTTTTTTGTTTTTCAAATTTTTCCATTTTCAAATATATATATATATATATATATATATATATATATATATATATATATATATAAAAGGTAATAAATCCATTGGTATATAATCTAAGTAGAATCCTAGTAACATAAAATATTAAAACTGATCCACAAAAATGCTGAATATATTTATTATAACAGAGCCAATAAATAGTATTACACAATAAAATCCAAAATTACCTCATATGAGGGATAGATCTGTTACAACCAACAAAAACGTTATCTTATTCAACCCCAGGATATGGAGTGAGTTTGTGTTGGAATTAGAAATTTAACTTTGACAGCTGGCGAAAAATTAATACTGAATTTATTCATTTCAATGTTTCAGTCAGACAAAAGGCATGAGACACTATTAACCTTAAAGGGAAGATGTTTTATAAAATTAAACCCAGATATTAACCTTACAACATTGGGTTGGTATGAAGAATGCAATGTTAATTTGAAACTAAAGAGTAATGAGAAGGTTTTTTTTTTTTTTTTTAAATTTATATAGATTAGGTTAAGTTTAAAAATACAAGTTTCTACTTAAAATATAGATGCATGCATGTGCTATTTGTTATTTTTGGTAGGTACATGTGCTTGAGTTGCTATCTCTGTTTTTATTTTCTGGAACAGTGAAATTTTCCGAGATGAGGTATTTTAACTATTTACAGTATTCAGACTGTTGTCCTCATCTTTACGGTCATAATCACAACATTTCGGCTGTTGTATGCTCTGGCCTTCTTCAGATAATATACGTTGGAATTTTGGATCAAACCCTTTATTTAATCCAGTGTGGCAGATTCTTCTAGTTTTACATGCCATGCCTTTCCTGGATATCTCTGTTTCAGTTATTTCCCATTAATAGCTCAATACTCGAGGTTTTGTTCACCTCTGTTGTGGCTAGGTATTGAACTCTCCACTACTTGGGTCACATCTCTGAATTACTTCAACCAGTGCTTTAGTCTGAACAATGTAAGCAATGAAATTAATAACATTTAAGAAAATAAAAAATGGGGATAGCATCTCAAACCTGTGCACCTACTAAAAATATTTAACGCAATAAGAAATAATGTTATATTAAAAAGAAAATATATATATATATATAACATATTTAAATAGTATATGTTTGAGTAGATGTCCCCAATTTAAAATATTGAAATTAATCTCTATGGGCCTACAGATTGAAATTTATCTCCCAACAGGAACAAAGACTCCATTCAGCTTTCTAATCACAGAAATTGCTTTCAAGCATTCATTTATCATTAAGCCACAGGTGGCCAATACAGCAAAACAAGTCACAATGACATTACTTAATGTCAGGAGGTACATTTTCTTCGGAAATTACAAAAATATATTCAAAATATCACATTAATTTAAAAAAAAAAATACATTAATTGCTTGCTTGCGTGTGTGAATATATATATATATATATATATATATATATATATATATATATATATATATATATATGGTGGACTCTTGGTGGTTGATGTATTAGGGTCAAGCAGCTCAGTTCCTAGGAACCGACAGCCCAGACACCACACACACATGATTTGATTATAGTGGTGAAGGCTTTGTGCAGAACCATTCACACTTTTTGAAAGGCCGCATAGAGAAACCTGTCACAAGGTCCCCAAACGACCCTCCGCAGGATCTGAATTCAGAGTTGTCCTTCTCCTAGACCAGTTGCCATTCAAGGCTATAGAACCCAATCTGTCTTGTTATTTACCCATAGCTGGAAGGAGAAGAGGAGGATTAATACCTTTCCCAAGGGTATTAGTGCAAGTGTGAATGTAGTGGATTCTACTGGAATTCAAACTCGCCTCTCAGATTCCTCAATCCGAGTCACTATCCACTA